CAAAAGATTAGTAATCTTTATTTGACAGTAAGTATCTTCTTCAGGAATTTACTTCCAAAACATGGCCCTACCCCAAATCTGAATGGGATAGGAAATTTTACATTTTAGAAAATAAAATGAGTAATTTCCAGTGAGTTTTCATTCTCCTATTGATTTCTTATTCAAAATGGATTCTGGGCACCAGGTGTCCATTAGGGTCTAAGCTCGTTACATGTATCAGTATTTTTCTCATATATATAACTTCAAGATTAGAATTAGGACATTGGGTGTTGGGTTCAGATCTTTCTGCCAGACCTCTTCTCCCCATGTAGTCTTCTCCCTCATTTATGGGTTCCAAGAGGATACCTCAAAAGCTGTCTGTCTTCTTGTACTGGTAAGCTGGGCTGGACAGTGAAAAAAAGTGAGGTGAAGAACCCTTTTCCCCTAAGCTTAATAATAGAACCAACCACAAGTAAGCTATTTTATTGTTCTTTTGTTTTGGGACCTCCTACAGGGTGTCTCCTGTCTTGAGTTTTAGTGCTTCTCCCATAAGTAAATGAAGAGGGGGCTACGTGGGAAAAAGAAATCTGTCCTGTTAAAGTTCCACCTCAATACAGAGACTGAATTTTGTATGTTGTATGTCCTTATGTTAGAGTAAGAACAATGAGGAGTATGTATGTGATCTACATTAAAAAAAAAAATTACAAAAAACAAAAGTTAGTCTCCTACTTTGCAATCTTCTGCGGAAAGATAAAGCAGTTATCTAAGGTTTTACAAGTAGAGGTGACTTAAAACTGTGAGGTGATTTTGGTTCTGCCCAGTGTATGTTCCTGGATCTGGGATTATATGTATTGTGTAGGTTGATTATGGACCATTTGTAGAGACAAGGCAAAAACTCCTGAAGTTATATCTATGAGGGAAATACTAGTCTGTTCCAGATTTTAAATAGAGAATAACTATAATCCAAATGTGTATTTGTGAGACATGAATATAAGTTTGTCAAAGGATAGTGAAAACCCTAATGATGAACTACAGCCAAACTTAAGGAAGATACATATTCATTTTTATTCAGTATTTATATGGTTTTAGGAACTGTATTTTTTGCTGTTTTGTGGTCATCTTTGAGTTATTGAAGCTTTTGAAAACTATTTGGATTTGATAGCTTTTCAGCTACTTTTTGAAGCAAAGATTTTATAAGTGAGTTTATATTTAAGTTAACTTTTAAAATTAAGGCAGTTTTAATTAAAGCTGTCATTTTGGATGCATGTGAGTAATGTAATATCTTTAAAAAGGCACAGTTGTAAGGTGTTAAAACTTATTTTTACATTACAGGCTGTTGGCAACACTTACGGTAATTTTTCACTAGCAACCATGTTTCCCAGGAGGGAGTTTACAAAAGAAGACTATAAAAAGAAATTATTGGATTTGGAACTTGCCCCAAGTGCTTCAGTGGTACTGTTGCCAGTATGTATATACATGTATATTTTTTCTACTCCTGTAATTTTCTGTTTGTTCTACTCTTGATCATTTCTTATTAGTGGAAGGGAAGGGGAGTGGTATACTCTGGGTAATTAAAATCCAAATTATCCAAAAATTAGATCAGTTTATTGTGCCATTATCCTGTGCTTTATATGTTTTTATTGCTAATATTGCTTTTGAAGCACTAAATAATTGAATTTTCAGCTTTTTTCCTCACCTATTGTTGTTTACAATAAATAAGAAATGTGGAGTATCTGTCTCATTCACAGACTTAATGTCTTTTATATATGGCTCTACTATGTACCACGTTTTAAAAAAAAATTATTGTAACATAAAAATAATATTAATTTTTCAAATTCATTATCCTACTTCATCCTCACAACAACATTTTAATGTCTAATGAAGAAAAGAGGCTCAGAAAGCTTAAGTGACTGTCAAGTTCCCACCTTAAGTACCAGAGTGAGGATGCGAGCCTGGGTGTTCCATGTTCTGGTTAGTGTAGCTCACCATATTCTAAAGGAGAGGCCCCCACCTAAAATAATTAGCCCTCCAGTAATCAGAATTTCATTGTGTTCACTGCAGGTTGAAATGTTTTCTTTTTTTATCAGCAAGAAACACTTTTCTTATCAACATTGTTAATATCATTACAAAAGTTTAATTTTCTTAAAAATACTTCATCAACGAAAACTCTGTTCTAGTTTGTATATTATAATTACTCTTTTAAAAAACAGAGCTTCAAGGGCCAGCCCGTGGCTCACTTGGGAGAGTGCGGTGCTGATAACACCAAGGCCACAGGTTCAGATCCCTATATAGGGATGGCCGGTTAGCTCACTTGGGAGAGTGCGGTGCTGATAACACCAAGGCCACAGGTTCAGATCCCTATATAGGGATGGCCGGTTAGCTCACTTGGGAGAGTGCGGTGCTGATAACACCAAGGCCACAGGTTCAGATCCCTATATAGGGATGGCCGGTTAGCTCACTTGGGAGAGTGCGGTGCTGATAACACCAAGGCCACAGGTTCAGATCCCTATATAGGGATGGCCGGTTAGCTCACTTGGGAGAGTGTGGTGCTGACAACACCAAGTCAAGGGTTAAGATCCCCTTACCAGTCATCTTAAAAAAAAAAAACAAAAACAGAGCTTCAGGAGTTTCCAGAAATTTGTATACATTTAAAAATAGTAAAAGATGGATTTTACCTTCTTGTAGTAAACCAAGACCAGTAAGACCTCGCTTTCCAAATAAAAGATTCATCTACAACCTTGAGAGTGATGTGATTGTGCTGATGTAATCTTTATTTAGGTTTATTTTTTACTTTCTAGGCAGGAAGACCAAGTACATCCATCATACACTCTTCCAGTGGAGACATTTGGACACTGTTGGGGACAGTACTTTACCCATTCCTTGCCATCTGGAGGTTGATTAGCAATTTTTTATTTAGTAGTCCTCCTCCTGCGCAGTCCTCCATGAGAGCAACATCGTCAGAACTTTCAAACCCTGGATCATCTAGCAAATCAGAAAAAAGGTATCTTTGTTGTCCCCATTCGAAAAATATGTAAGTAATGCCCAGTACCTTTCTCAAAATGTAAAATTGTGTTATGGGTACTTTGCCTTCTGTGTATGTCATCTCCCGACCCCACAGTGGAGGGAAAAAACCCAAATGTTCTGAAACCTTACTATTTCATTTCTCCTGGGAAGCTCACTACCTGGGTTTTCCAAAACCTATTTTGTGAAAAGCAACTTCACCTCTCGTGGTTTTATATATTTATTTATTTATCTTTTTAAAAAATTAATATTGTTATTTTTTCTTTTTAATATTCTATGATGTTGTGGAGCAGTTGGGAGGGAGGGGGAGGGGAAAGGGGAAGGAAATGTGATAGAAGGAGGAGGGAGGAGGAGGAGCAGGATTGAGGCCTGTGGCATCCCCCTCATTCCCACAGGGGAGACCAGGGGGCTTCCAAAGGTGGTTTGGTCATTGCAGGACTGGGTGTATATGTCATGTGGGTGTGGGAAAAGCCCTCGCCCCCCATGACGCCAGCTTGGGAATCTGGGGCCCTTCTTGCTGTGGCTCGGTGGTCGTCACTGAGCTGGTTGCACATGTCGGGGGTGTGGCCGAAACCCTCGGACCCCGTTCTCTGGACTGGTTGCAGGTGTCGGGGCATGGCTGAGGTCCCTGGCCCTCCCCACTCTCTGGCTTAGTAACCCAGCGGACTTCTGGTCCTTCTAGGTATTATAGGTATCCTTTGGTGAATTGAGACCTTTACTTATTAATATCAAACTTTGTCTCTGGTGTGGGTATTTTTTTCTTTCAGTTCTGTGTTGGCTTATTTGCTGTTCCCACCACTGAAACTCTGTCCTGGAACTAATTTGTTGTCCTTTGCCTTTAAAATGGGAGAACTTCTGGTGGGGACCAGCACTTGAGCTCTGTGGTTGAGATAGTTGCTGCTTTGCTGCTCATTCCCTAGGGAAGGCCTTTTGTGCAGCTCAGGTTTTAATGGTTGACCCTATAGGTACTTCCTGCTCTCATGAGATCTGACACACCTGGATTGTGTAGAAACTCTAGTCTGGGCCTGAGTCTTCTCATCAGACTGCACCCTATGCAATTCTATATTCCTGACCAGTCTCCTTAGAATGGTCCTACGCTGATTGGGGAACAGATCAGTTGTCCTTGCTGTGCCCCACTGTTCCCCCAGTGCGCCCATCTCCCCCACCACCCTGCTCCAAACACTTCCCATGGGATGGCCCATGGTCTGGTCCCTTGTGATGACTCACCAGCCTCTGAGTGGCTTCTTTTTTTCAGTTGTTGGGGCTCCTCCTATGTGGGTCCATGGGAACCCTATTAGTGGTCTTGCTTGCCTGGGGGTCACCAAGGCCCTTTTCTCCCCTGCCACCTCCAAGCAACTTTATCCGAAGGGCACACCTGTGGCTTTTTCCAGCTCCTGCTCTGTGCACTCAGCAGCTCCAGCTAGGAAACGGCTGGGATTTGAAATGTTCAGAGTGGTTTTTTTCTTCCTCTCCCACCTTCCTGCACTCCATAGGTCTCTCCATCTCTTCCCCTGAGCTCTAGCGGCCCCAGTTGACTGTCATTGCTTTTTTAAAGTTGTAAATTGGTTGATTTGTGGGAGAGAGTGCCACTGGGGACTGTCTATTCTGCCATCTTGACCAGGAGTCTCTCCTGATTTTATTTTTTCATTCATTGGATTCTCTTTATCCCATTACTTTTTTTTTGTCTTTTTTTTTAACTGACTGGTAACGGGATCGCAACCTTCGGTGTCGTGCCCGTACCGGGGACCGGCAACGGGATCACAACCCTCGGTGTTGCGCCCGCACTGTGCTCAGCCAGTGAGCGGGAACCGGTCTCCACATGGGATCCGAACCCTCGGTGGGAGCGCCGCTGCGCTCTCAAGCGGCGCGCTCTCAAGCGGCGCACTCTCCAGTGCGCCACCGGGCCAGCCCTATCCCATTACTATTGAGGCAGACTTTTTTCCCCAGGTATATAAAATCTTTCTTGCTAACTGTGCCTGACAGAGTATTTCGTTTCATTAATTGCTCATGGTCATCTGTCATAATTTCTTTAGAAGAAGCATTGTGATCTGAACATCTTACCCTTGTGGTTCTTTGATCTACTGCCTGACAGTCTTGTCTGGGCTGTTCAGAGAAGGACCAAATTGAGGAAACTGGTTATTCCCTTGAAAATGGTGCCTCTTTCAGAGGGCTGTTTTGGAACAGGTTAACAGGAAGTATTTTCCTAGAAAATGATTTCTAGAAAATGAGATTATACCCCCTTCTAATAATTAAGTAATAGCATAATTTATTATATATTCCTGTTAAACACTCTATTAGGCCTTTAATAGGAATTATAGCAAATCCTCACCCCATTCCTATGTGATAAGTAATGAAAATCCTTACCTCTGTCTGCCCTAAGTATAGAGATACCTAGTCGTGTTCAATTTGATGCTGTAGATGACAGTTTGTATAAATATTGTGATTGGGCTGATTTTGCCTTTATCTTGATTTATTTGTTAACTATTAGGCAAGAAGACCAGTTCCATCCTTAGTACGTTATTCAAGTAAGACACGGAAATTCTTCTCTCCAGTCTTAGAACAGCATTCAAATTAGGCCTTTTAGTACTGAATTTTAGAACTTACTGAGCAATGGGTGGGAGTATTTCGTCCTATATAGGATAGCTTGTTGTGTGGGTTTTTAAAACTTTTTTCAACTAAAAGTCTTGGGTTGGAGCAAAGGATGTGATGAATGTATACCTAAGAGAATGAAGCTGTGTGTTCCAGTATCATTTTCATTTTTCCTCTCTCCCCTCTAGCCTTATAAAATTCTGTTAGCTTAAATTTTACCTCTATTTCCTGAAGAAGTCCTGTTCTTAATTGTTTATAAATAAGTCATTCTTAAAATTTTTGAAAGGATTAAAAATTGCTAATTGACCATTTTTGTCAATTAGGCTATGACTAATGCTTTGGATAGCCTCCAGGGTGCTGTGTAAGTTATAAATATTTCAGTAGATATATGAACTTGCATAAATAATGAAGATTAATTGGCAACTGGTCAAACTCTTCTAAAGCGTAGCAAGTCATCAAGAAACACATGGAAATGGAAAATATGATTTGGCTGGTTTGGCCTGGGGAACACATGAAGTTAAACTTCCAGAGACTAACAAAGTCTAGTACTGCATTAGTAGATATATTGTCTCCCATGGACTTTGCTTACCTTGGAGTTGAAAGTAAAATATAGTTGCTGTACTAATGGAAGTGTGAAGGGAACAACTTGGTACTACTGTTGTTTGCATTTTATATTATCTTCCCTTTTCTCCCTGTTTTGTTACATCAGGGAATCAGTCAGAAAAAGAGTGCTGGAAAAACGTGGGGAAGACTTTAAAAAGGAGGGGAAGATATATCGATTGAGGACTCAAGATGATGGTGAAGATGAAAATAACACTTGGAATGGAAATTCTACTCAGCAGATGTAGTGTGACAAGTACAATACATGCAATAATCATTGCTTCTCTCATGATTTAATTCAACCAAAATTCTACTGGAGAAGTACTGCTTTACATTTTCCAACTGATCTGAGTTTCTCTTTATTCCTGCTGGGTGGGTGTGGGTTCAAGTTGTTTAAGTCAGAAAATTCAAGACATAAAATAACTGGCTGCTAGGTCTTTGCATATAGTAACCAACTGCTAGAAGCCTAAAAGAATCAGAAGTTCTGCCACAGCTCCCTCCATTAGCTTCTCATTCAGTATTTCATGTATCCATTAGCCCTGTGCTTTCAGAAGACCAGTTTTGTTTAGGGCCATTTTGCTCCAAGACTCTTAACTTACACAGAGTAACTGGTATGTCACTGAGTAATATGACTCTGAGTCGGGGCATTTTAACTAGCCATTCATATGACAATTTATGTTTAACTTTTCTCACTGCAAGCAAAATCTTGTAGTTTTTAATCTTACTTAAACACTGAATAAAAAATCTTTTCCCAAAACTGGAATGATATTTTTGCTTCAAGTTTTCTTATCCTAGCATCTTTTTGTTACACAGGGCTCTGTTGAGGTCATGTGTCTCTGATTTTCTTCCCCAGTACTTAAATATCACTGAAGAAAGAAATTTTCTGACACACATGCCACATTACTCTCTCTCCTCAATCAGTGAGCATCAGTTTGTTTGTATAACATTTTGGTCTTTGTTCTCATCAGATGCAAAACAGCTGCGAGCCCAGAACCTAGTTTTCTTTCTCACCCTTATGCTAAAATTGTGTCCTCAATACTCACAATTAAAGGACCTGAAGATCCTGTAGTGTAGGACAAGAAGTATAGAATAAAGACATGGTTTTAGTCACTTGGTTATTCTTCAGAATTTGAAAGAGATTCTTAATCTTACTTACCTGCTACTTTATCCGTGTGTTTTTGGTAGTGGAGACCACTAAACTAATGATGTTTGGAAAAGGGAGTGAGCTCGACAGTTCCTCTGTTTTAGATTGGAAGACATTACTCTTGAGTGAACATATTGAAAGACTTGTGTTTTATTTTGTAATGAGAGGAACAGCATTTCTCGGAGCAAACTTTGTTTTTCACCTACGAAATAACAGTGACTTTAAAAAATGATAATAGCGTTGGCAAGGAAACACTGAGACAGGCTACACTGTTGGTAGGAGTGAAAACCTGTGTAATCTTTCTGAAAAATATTCTTTTCCAGAAACATTAAATATTTCAGACTTGCTGACCCAATAATTTTTTTCTAAGGAATGATCATAAATGCAGACAAAGTTTAGGTATAAACATACTCATTAAGTGTTATTTTACTTAAGAACTGGAAACCAACTAAATGCCCCCTGCAAAAGTAAGTAATTTTTGATGAGGAGAAATGGTACAGTCCTAATTCAGCAATTCAATTTAACATGTTTATTGAGCACCTGTTATGTGTTGGGGGAGAAGCAATAGGATACAGAGCTGTAGGTATAGTATGATCTTAGCATTGTAAACACATTTTATAAATAGTACTAGGTATTAATATATTGTAAAGAAAGAAGAAAACACACCAAAACATTAATGATGGTAAGAGTGGTTATATGTGATTGTTAGTTTTCTTTTTTGCACCCTTATATATTTTTCTGATTTCCTGCAGTGGTCATATTATATCCATAATTTAAAAAGTGAATTTGAAGGGCCGGCCTGTGGCTCACTCGGTAGAGTGCGGTGCTGATAACACCAAGGCCACGGGTTCGGATCCCATATAGGGATGACCGGTTCGCTCACTGGCTGAGCGTGGTGCTGACAACACCAAGTCAAGGGTTAAGATCCCCTTACCGGTCATCTTTTAAAAAAAAAAAAAAAAAGTGAATTTGAAAAAGAAAATCTAGCAAGCATCTCATTCAAATAAAGTCTTGTCATCTTTAAAAATACAGCAATATGTGATTTTTAAAAAAACTCTCAAAGGGTTGTGATCCTACTAATAACTATTAGAAATATATTTACAAAAACATTGAGTACCCCAAGTCAGCTTGTCTTGGAAAAAAAAATCAAACATAAATCTTGGAGAAACGTACATAAAACAATGGTTCATAATCTTTGATTAGGAGGAAGGACCTCTGTTCAACTTTATTTTTAAAAAGTCCTCATAGTAAAAAATTCAAAACAGTATACAAGACTGTAAAATGAAAATGACGTTTCTTTCTCGCATTTTTCTCCCACTACTATTCCCCAGAGGTAACCTTCTATTAATAGTTTATTGTGTAATTTTCAGAAAATTTTTATGAATATATAAGCAAAATGTAATCTTTATTTTGTAAATAAATAGGATCATATTTACATACACTACCCTGCATCTTGCTTTTTTACCCAGACAGTCTTGAAGATCTTTCGCTGTCAACACAGAGCTACCTCATTCTTATTAATGGCTGCACAGCATTCTACTTGATGAATGTACCTCAATTTATTATCTATGCTCTTGGTGTCGTTCAGTGGCTATTTCTAATTTTCTGGGTTTTTTTTATTATAAACATTGCTACAGAGAATATTCTTGGAGTGGGGGTGGGTATATTCCTATTGTGAAGATAAATCTATAAGGT